TATAAAAATTAAGATACTATTTTACATTATATGACAAAGATTTAAAAAGTAATAATAATACCTAAAATTGGAAAGCCCATGGGAAACAAAATCTCTAACACACTATTGATAAATAATGTTTTATACAATCTCACTTAAAATGTATATGTATGTGTGAACGTGTGTACACAGTTAGGTGTATACCAATGGAAAAATGTCTCAAGGAGAACAGATTATCTCTGGGCAGTAAAATGAGGAATAATTTATTTATTATAATTTGTGGTTATTTATATTCTCTAAATTTTCTAAAACGAATTGTATTACTTGGGTATATTTTCTAAATTTTCAAAATTTCAAAGCATTTGTGATAATGAAAATGCAAGTGCTTCTTGTATCAGAATATAAAATTATTTTATCTTTATCAAAAGATAAAATTATAGTTAATTTCAAATACTCAACTCCTTTGAAACTGAATCTTCTCTTTATAAGTAGCTAAAATTCACTGGTATAATAAAGACGGGCTTTGGAGCAGAAACACATGCAGCCAAATTCCAAATGAATGACTTTGGGCAGGTTTCCTCATCTATAAACAGAAACTCATAACAGCACCTACCTTGCTGGTCTGGTAAAGGGTAACATGAACTAATATACTTAAAGCCCTCACAACACCAGCTTAAGGCGGCTAGTGCTCAAAACTTTCTCAGATCCTGTGAGTTCTATGTCAATTTTGTCAGAAGTTAAATGAATGCCCTGGTTAATCAAATTTGTAATCTGAACAACTGTGACCAGGTGTATCTGAAATATCATGTAAACTTCTTAAAATGTCCTGTCACTGTCTTTCCCCTTCAATGTCCATAGACTCTGAGACTCGCATGGGGTTTGATTTTCTTCACTTCTTCTAGAACACATCCATAATGGTTCAACTCAGGCCATACTTTAGCTCTAAGCTGCATTAAAAATGTGTGTGTGTATGTATATATATGTATACACACATATACATATATATACATACACACATATGTGTATGTGTGTGTATATATACACTCACACTCACATACATACAGATACAGGTCTATAATTAAAATATATACGTATTTATCATGCTCTAAATTAGAAGTCTGAAGAACACATTTTAAAATTCCTAAACTTTCTAAAACAATACAGTTATGAATGAAGTGGAAAATAATTATCTGCTAACTATATCAGTATATGCAGAAAAATAAATAAGCTATACTTACCTTTAATTGCTTTTGTGATGATAAAGGACGCACCATGTTTTCGGTTGCCTCTAGGCTACAATTGGAAACAAAAAACAAAAAAAAACTTTCATATGGGAATTTTCTAGTAATATTTACACAATATGTAAAGTTACATTTCTTTGCTAAAACTCAGAGTACTGGGTACAAGTCACTAGTATTTAAAAAGTACTTATGGATAAAAACAAAACAAGTAGAAGCAGGACTGGGAACAGTGGAAGTAAAAGTGAGCATGGCAGACGTACAGGCATTTGTCAGGAGGACTTTAGAAGGGAGGACGAGGACTGAAGCTGGAAACCGTTTCCAAATCAAAACACCAGTCCAAAGACAAGAGAAGTCAAGAGCAAAGACCATACTGGTTGCCAGTTCAGCAGTCTACTTGGGTAGGCTTAAAACAAGTTTTGCTTGCAGGAAAAGTAATCATACGGATTACTCACCTCACGTCTTGAGGCAAATTTATTGAATATCTGTTGTCTATCCACAGACAAAATGCTACTAACACACACTGACATATAATTGCTATATTAAATAGTTTCTTAAGTATAGACTAAACATTGTGTAGGCTAAACAATACTAGGCACTATAAACAATGAGTAAGATCTACTAATGTGTTGTTAAGAAAGGAACAATGCACATATAGTAAGTGCAGACAGATATGGCTTAAAAGCACATAAAAGTTACTTCATTCAACAAACAAACTGATCATCCACTTCACGTAAGACCCAGGTTGGTCCTGGGGAGGCATATAAAAATGAATCAGCTGTAGCTGCCCTCAAAGAGCTTGTAGTTCAACACTTGAAATCAACAGAACCAAACAAAACAAAGTGCTACGAAAATTCAATGTAAGTTGATGCTGTGCTTATTTTTTTAAAAATCAATAATGTTAAGCATTCTGAAATATTATTGTAATTAACCAGTGAGTGCTAAGGAGTAGAAATGTATCCTTATCCAGCCAATAGCAGCAGCAACAGCTTCCAAGCTGCATAACCTACAAAATATTCACATTGTTCAAAACAAACAGAAAGTAATACTTGAAAAACAATAATATATGCAGATCTCTGCCAGCCTATAAAATATATTATTCAAAACAAACAGAAACTGCAGTGAGAAGGAGGTTAAAGAAAAACTACAAACTGTATAGGAGAACGAGTCGTTTTTCCAGTAAAGCAACACTCAAGAAAGATGTTGTAAAAAAGAATTCATATGGGCAGGACTCCATGATCTCTAACAAAAGTCCTTTTTGATCTTGCTGCATCCTCTGAGTCTAAAACAGTGACTGGCATATGTTAGGCACTCAATACATCTGTTGAATAAAGGTGGATTCCGGGTTGCTACTCTTCACCTCGTGCCTGGGAGGCCCTCTCTGTGGAACAATTGATAACCTCAAGGTCCACTTCAGGTTACAACCCTTCTCTAGGAGAGAACCCCACCCCGGTCAGTAGCTCGTTACTCTTCACTCCCAAGGCATTTTGCTTACACCGCTATTATAGCGCCTATTACACTAGGTTATGAAAAATGTTCACTGGCTTGTCTCCCCTCTAGACTGCAAGAACCACGAGTTATGCACCTCTGTATGCCCAGCGCCTGGCACAGTATCTGACACAGATGGACACACATATACACTTATTAAATGCCTGTTTATTGAAATACACAAGAACTGGCGCAATTCAGCCCCAAGTAGGAGTTAGGGTTAGATGCCATTCTCCACGGCAGCCCGCCAGATGTTGAGACGACTGTAGAGACCTGGAAAATTCTCCCACTGCAGATGACAATCAGCCCTGGCCAGTCCTGTCGGGCGATGGGAAGGGACTACCGAAGAGTCTAAAAACGAGGACCTTCTAGTCCAATGCCGTGCCTCCCCTCCAAGTAAAGGGCAGTGAAACAGAACCAGAGTGGGAAGGTACGTGTTCCAGAACCCGGGGTTGCGCCACCCGACCACCGAATTCGCAGCCCAGGAGGACTCTTGGGAACACCCCTTAGGGGACCCAGGCCCCGGCTAGCCCGCCATGCCGTTACCAGGGTGACCACGCAAGCTGCAGAGCCCCGCTCCCCAGCCCACCCAGCTCCACTCCCCTGCGTGGCTCCCGCTACGTGGCTCTGCCCGGGCAGCACCCGCGCCAAGCTGGCCGCAGCTCTGGAGGGGTCGGGGTCACCTGTACTTCTGTCTCCGGGGGCCACTCGGTGTTGACCAACAAGTCATAGAGAATTGTCTCCTCCTCGCCCTCCGCAGCGCCTGGAATCACAGCCGGCGCTGACTCGGAGGCCGCCATGTTCGCCCGGGACCCAGCAGCTGAGAGAGTGTCACTACGGCATCCCGCAATGGACAAGCTTCCTTAGCCGCGGCCGCTTTTGATTCACGGGGAAGAGGGTGGAGTTAACAGGACGTGGAAAGGAAATGCTAGGTTAACCTTTTTATGAATAGGAAGAACGATGACTAGTGCTTGTCTGGGTAACGACTGTCTGTCCCGCTGTACTCCTTGTTAATTAGTCTGCTCGAGATCAGCCAAGTCTGAACCTCTCTTATCCAGTCGGCTTCTATAAAACAGAAGTGGTAAAAGTATTGGTAAATGATGAATGGTAAATGGTAAAAGCATCCCTGAGATGCTGGCGTTCACTTATGTATTCGTTGTCACTTATGTATTGTACACAGAAAGAGTACAAACAGTGGTTTTTTTAAATAAACACCAAAAAGTTATCCAATGCAACAGATTAAGCCAATGAAAGGTATCAGAGGAATGGTGCTATAGGAGTTCAGAAAAGGCACGGAAGTCCAGAGGGTCTGAAAGGGCTCCCTGCAGGAAGTGGAGCTTGTCCTGGGTCTTGAACAACAGGTAGAATTTGAATCAAGTGGAGAAGGTTGGGGAGAGCATTTCAAGTTGGGGCAAATGGGCTAAGCAAAGACAGCGACAGAAATATCTAGTTGAAAGAGCAGGCAGCTGGATAGAACCCAAGTCGAGAAAGGGTGTGGGGCAATAAGGTTGAAATGATAGGTTGAGGACCTCCATGGAGGGAGATAAAATGCCAGCCTTGCTTGTTCATTCATTTGTCCATTCATTCATTCAACAACTGCCTCTATGTGGGAAGCCCTGTATATAAGCAGAGCCTATTGTAACCTGATTGAATATACAGTGCACAAGGAATTAGCACTGTGTCACATTCAAAAGAAGCACAAATACTCAAGATATCTTATGAGAATTATATTGCATAATATCCATCAAGATGCATTAGGCAATGATGCAATTAAAAGCCTCCACTGGGAACCGTCTAATGGCTCCCATTTCTCTCAAAGCTCAGTGACCTCAAAGCAAGCCCTCCATCACCTGCCCGCACCCCCTTACTCTTTCACCTCATCTGCTGCTTCCCCCTGCTACCTTCAGCCACACTGGCTTTGCTGTTTCTGAACACACAGACACACTTCCACTTAAGGGACTTTGCATGGGTTGTTCCCTCTGCTTGGAAGACTTCCTACTAGATATTTCTCTGGGTCTCCCCTTCATCTCCAAGGTTTTGCTCAAATGTCACCTTCTCCCTGAAGCTTTACCTGACTGCTCATTTTTAAATTTGAAACCACCTTCCCCATCTCCAGATCTCCCTTACTAGCTCTATTTTTTTTTTGCCATAACACTTTGTCATCACCTAAAATGCTTTATAATTTATGTTTTATTATATGAGATTATTGTCTGTCCTCATTCACTAAAATGTAGGTTCTACCAGAACGGAGTGCTCTACTATGTATGCATAGATGCTATACACATCCCTGCTACATCCCCACAGTTTATAACAGTGCCTGGCACAGAGCAGAGGACAAAATATATATTATTTGTTGAATAAATGAAAAGTTTCCCCAAAATACTTTTTTATACATTGTATCCCCAAAGTACTTCTCTTCGTAGCAGCCTTGTCTTTTTATCAAACCCTCAGTTGCAGACACCAGACATCTCCTCTCCCCATCCCACCAGAGCTGACAAGTTGCACAGCTCCCGGGAGCATATCTCACATTGCAGGCTGTGGAATGTGAAGAGGTAGGAACACCCTTCACTTGGAATACAGTTTTAAAGGTGGCCCCTGGAGTGGTACAGGGCCTCAATACTGCCCCCTCCCATTTCTGCACACCAAGTTTCCTTGGCTCTTTACTCCCTTCCCTATCTCATCCTTTCTCTGATGGAAATTGGCATTGCATTCTGCTTCATCCATTCTCTTCACCACTTCCATGTGATCAGCACAACCACAGCCAGGAGGTGGCTGGCCAAGCAAGCATCTTCTCAGCTGGCATGCAAAGGGGACAACTGCAAAGACATCACCAAGAATCATCACACTATGTTAATTTCTTTATCCATCCTTACCCTTACCCCATTTACCATAGTTTGTACCACAGAACAGCAAACAAAAGTCCATGCCTGGCTGACCTCACAGAGCTTATATTCTAAGGAAACAAAAAAGGAGCAGGCTGAAACAGCATTATTTGAAGAGTGACTATACATTTAACTTGGAGCAATTGCTGGAAGGAAAATTCTACTACCAGAGATGCAGATGGGCAGGTTGTGAAGCCTTCTTCGCCACTGTTTAAAATCCAGAAGTCCCTGAAGGAAAAGAACGTGAGATGACCAACAACAGGGAAGAAGGTGGTAAGAATATGTGTGTCATGAGAAGAGCTCTAAATGCAGAATAGCAGACACTGGGGTTGGAAAAGAAAAGGCAGAGAAGTGATCAGATTTCAAGTCAAAGTTCAGCTGAGTCAAAAGAACAAGATGATTTAAGACAGGTTGGGTGGCTTAAACCAAATTGCTAATTGGTCTTATCTGTAGTGATTATATAGTTAATTGTCCAAACTGAGACACTTTTGGGAATCGAAAAGGGATGACTTTAATAACTATGCTAGGAAAACAGGCATGAAACAGGACTGTCCTGGGCAAACTGAGATGATGGTCACACTAATCTTAAACAGAAGAGTGACTGATCTAATGAAGAGACCTTGGGCATTTCATTAGGACAGCAAGAGTCTCTTCTCCATCATATTTCCCTTCTCCTTTCTGCCCTCAGACTTACAGTGACAGCTGTCATTTTCATCTGCCCAGGCCTTTTGCTTCCTTGGAGAACTGCTCCAAGTGCTCTTCCTTCACCCAAGTCATGTATTCCAGTGGGGCTGCCAATCCCCAGACTCCGCCTCCTTGATCCGGGTCTACGCACTCAAAGAGCCCCGTTCCCTTGACTTCAAGCAATGGGTTGAGAATGCTTCCCTGGGATTTGGGGTTTGTTTTTTTTTTCATGGAAGTGGAGGAAAAAGCACCTTTATTTTGGATCATAGAGTTTGAAAAATACAAATTTGGGCTTGTCAGTGGCCGTTTTATTCACTATAGAGGGAAAACCTGTCTGCGATGGTAACAAAATGAAACCACACATTGAGAAAAACACAGGAGGCAGAGACATCATTTGATATTAGCATGCCTGAAATAGGTGACATCTGCATGCCTCCATCTTCCCAGTTAAGTGAACCAGTGCATTCCCCTTAAACTAAATAAAGTTAAGTTTCAATGCATTGAAACCACTCTTCTCTTGACATTTCTACCAGTGGATTTTGCAGATTACCTAATTTAGAATCTCTGCAATGTTGCTTCTGAGTTGAGTCAGTAGTTAATAGTACATTGATAGTACTATTACATTAATACATTGACAGTATTCATGGCTTACTAAGCTCTTTTGTCCTCACAGCCACTGCTGAGATGGACAGATAGAAACTCAAGAGAGAGATGCAGATCTCCATTTCCTAGATAAGGAAACTGAAACTTAGAGAAATCCAAGATCACAACAAAGCCAAAATTCAAACGTAATTCTTCAGGTCTTGATCCTGTGCTTCTTTCTTCACACCACAGCACATCATAGGAATATGGATAGAGCACTTAAATGGTTGAAAGCAGAAATAAACTGTTTTGGATGACCAGAAGTACCAACATGTAGAATGGGAGTATTATCACCCTCTTCTATTGGGGGAAAATTAAGCATATCTAAGAGTTTGGTTGCCATGTACTATTATCACCGACTAGGGGCCTCCAGAAACTCAAAGGTGGGTTTGGAAGCAATTAACTGTTTTTCCAGGTTGTTTCTTTTTCTTTTGTGTGTTAAGGAGATGTAACCACCAGCCATCTGGAATCTGACCCAGCCAGGCACTCAAGGGAGATGTAACCAGCAGCCATCCTGAAACTGACCAAGCCAGGATGTAACCACCAGCTATCCTGAAACTAATCAAGGCTCACCACAAGAGCCATGCCCATGACCTTTGCTTTATCTTTAAAGCAAAGATCTCTCCAGGAGGAGCTTAGGCCTCATTATGTGGAAGCATGTTCTCCATCTGAGCCTGTGCAAGCAAATACCCGCCTCCCCTTTTTGAATATTCATTCCCCAACCAAATAAAAGTTCCTGCTTTCCCCTGTTTGAGGATGCCATGACTTTGGAAATGATTCCTCATGGCCTCCTACTTGCTGGAAATGCACTTTACTTTGTGCGACAACTTCCACTGGTGTAGAGTCTTATTTAACTCACCAGGAGGCGAGCCCACTTGGTTCGGTATCATGATCATGGTCATCTAACCAACTTCTTAATTTAGTTGAAGGTCCAGGTGTGGCTTGAAGACATTTTAAGTCATGAGTAAGTCATTCTAAAAGGAAAAAATTATGTTTTCCAAATAACCAATGCAAATGGTAACTCTGTGAACTGCTTCAGGAACTAAGACTGAAATAAAAATTGAGACAATCCCAAAATAGGCATAATGATAATAATAATAGCTACATTTTGTGTGTCTACTCTGCTCCAAGCACTGTACCAGATACTTTGCTATACCTTATCTCTCTGCTCCTCTCCACAGTGCTGCAAAGAAAGAGTTAATAAGAAACTGAGGCTTTAAATCACTGTGACTCAAACAAGGTTACACACTGGTAGTGGTGAAGCTAGAATTGAAACACAGTTTTTGTGTAACATTCAAATTATTAATAGAGAAGGTACTGTGATATATCCATTTTAATGAAAAGTAATATTTTTTATAAGCGTTTGATGAAGGGAAGGAAAAAAACAGAAAATATTTCCCATTTCTTTCTATCCTCATAGCATATCAAGTATGCCTCAACTAAACTAAAATTCTCATTCACGTTGCTGATGGCCTTAGACATTTCTGCCTTATCAGACAAAAATTATTTAACAATATCTCACATAAAGGACTCATTTTTCCTCTCTTAATTCTTCCATGTAGAGCTATCATTAATTGATAAATTCATTTTGTAGGAGCTCAGCTTTTTAGT